TGGCCCACTGCTAGAAAAAGGTTATCCATACCTGAGCTACATCATAGTACTATGGGACAGTATGTCAGTGTGTCACACTGTTTCAACTTTACTCCTAGAGCCCGTAGCCCAACATATGATACCATTTTCGAATCAGGCCGACTCCGTGAACAAATTAAAAACATTCTTGGTCAGATCCGGATCCGCGCCCCTGAAATTTTGGATTTCGAAATATTTCTGTAATTGTTTCCGGAAATTTTGTACGTGATTTTTTGCGATGAGTTTTTTTTTTGTACGGCAATAATTTTTAGAATTCAGAAATAAATGTCGAAATAATCGAAATTAATTGCGAAATCTCCGCTAACTGAGGACCAGATTGCAATCAAATGAGTCAAGGCTGCAGTGAGCAAAAGTAAGTCCCGTTCAAATGAAAACCCAGACCAATCGGCAGCCAGGAGAGATTCCAATGCTGAGAATATGCAAAGACTTAGGGACTCACAAACTCCTGAACAAGCCGAACGACCAATCAAGATCAATCCGCAGGAACTAGCTTAAATGCCGCTCGATAGGGAAACTTTTAAGCTAGTTAGAAATAAATCACACAGCGATACATGTTAATCAAACTGTCATCATCATACTTATTATAAAACCCAGGTTGTGTGTGTGTGTCTGTAACGTTTATATATTGGATCGGATTTCCTACATTTTTCAATCGATTTCAACAAAACTTCACAGGACTACGTAAAATTACCTTGTGGTGGTTCTGACAGTGCCAAAAATTGGAAAAACACAATTGCTTTTGCACGAAATCAATTTGAAAACACGATTAAGAGGCATCGCTTTCACGGAATGAAAGAGGGACAACTCATATCGAGTTATACTTATTATAAAACCCAGGTTGTTTGTGTGTGTGTTCGTTTATATATGGGATCGGATTTCCTACATTTTTCAACCGATTTCAACAAAACTTCACTTCTTATTGCCTTGCACACTTTTTTCTTTATTTTTACATTCAGAATGCTTTAAAAATTCAATTTACAAGACAATTGTTGATAATAAAATTCTATTTAATCGGTAGACTCATAACGATTGAAAACAATGTTTTTGTTTGAGTTTGGGTTTGACCAATTCGTAAAAATAAAAAAAATAATTAAGACATACGTGTCCGTCAACCTTAAACAATAATCTTTATCAATTTTATTTTTCAGTCTTTATGATGGCCGATACTTGATCTATCTCTTACTGTTACATCCCCGGGCAACGCCGGGCTCTACTGCTAGTCAATAATAATATTATACCAAGACTTGCCCAACTAATGTCTGCGTCGGCGTCCTCTCCTACGTCCACCTTTAAGGGTCCCTTGCATGATGATTGTTGTTGATTCCGGGATGAAATCCAATCTCAAATGAATGACAAACGCAGGAATAAAATATAGCAAATAAATGTATTGACGCAATAATACAATTGGTAATACGGTTAGTAGATCCAGAAATGCGGTTAGTAGCAATTATAATATATATACAGTCTGGGAAATTCAGTATCGAAGTATGACTTCCTTCTGAGTCTACGTGCTCACAACTGTGACTCCTACAAAGTGGTTAACTCACTCTCTCACTGTATCAGTGTCTCTCTCTTACTGTCTAACTCCCGGGCATTCACCGGCAGCAGTACAAGTACACACTGGTCGAGTCCACTTGTATGAAAAAATTCAACAAATGGATCCCATAACAATGATCTTGCACAGGCTGTCTAAAATACCTCATTTTCCCCCGTTTGACATTGGCAAGAAGGTGTTCCTGGTGGCCAACAAAACTTTCTTTATATTCACTTACGCGCAAATGCCCTTGAGAAAGGTATGAGTCCAAATATTTACCCAAAAACGTTTCCTATTTTTTACGAGTGGACCAGTTTGTATAAGTAGTCAAAAATGTTCCGTATTCACTCCAAAAAAGGAAATGAAATCATTGTTGTTACAGACAAAAGAAAAAACGGAAGAGGAAAATGTCGAGAAAACTTTGTCAGCGTTTTAAACCATTGGCGATTTTCACTAGGGAATAACATACGTGTAAACATCATTCGCCTTTGAAAAAAGACGTTCATAATGATAAAAATATTTTCAAAAAACGTAAAAGGCGAAGTAATATTTCTAAATGATGCAAATTGTTAAATGTTAAAGCATTGGCAATTTTCACTAAAGACCATAAGAGTAAACATGTCTTGTTTATGAAAAGGAGACGTTCATAAGAAAGTTTTCCCTAAAGAAGAATTATTTTCATTTTCAAATAAACAAATTAGCAATAAAGCACATGCAGCGACATGCGCTAAACACAATGTCATCAGGGGCAAGATTTTAGCTAGACGTTAATATTTTAATCATAAAAATATTTTCTAAAAAAGTAAAAGGCGAAGTAATATTTCTAAATGATGCCAATTGCTAAATGTAAAACCATTGACAATTTTCACTAAGGAAGACCATAAGTGTAAACATGTCTTGTTTATGAAAAGGAAACGTTCATAAGAAAGTTTTCTCTAAAGAAGAATTATTTTCATTTTCAAATAAACAAATAAAAGCGACATGTGATAATCAATGCTATTATCAGTGGGTAAGATTATAGCAAGACTTGAATATTTTTAAAAATAAAAAATATTTTCTAAAATAAGTAAAATTCGAAGTAATATTTCTAAATGATGCAAAGTGCCAAATGTAAAACCATTGACAATTTTCACTAAGGAAGACCATAAGTTTAAACATGTTTTTTTTTTATGAAACAGGAAACGTTCATAAGAATTTTTGTCTAAAGAAGAAATATTTTAATTTTCAAACAATAAATTAGAAATTAATCACGCTGTCATCAGCGATAATATTATACCAAGACTTGAATTTTTTAATCATAAAAAAATGTTTCTAAAAAATAAAACTTTCCTATTATTTCTAAGGCATCGCATATGATCTTCTTTAGTGAAAATAGCTGAGGTACCTACAGAAAACAAATTACCTTCAATCTTCTTCATAGTTCGACCCGCCTTGTGATGAGCTATGGATCATTGGGACCACTGCTAGAGAAAGGGTACCTATGCCTGATCAAGCATGAACATCAGTTTGAACAAGGCAAATACGCTCAAACCATCGGTCAGGATGACTTGTAACTTCGTCCTAATACAATCTTGGACGTCGTCCAAGCAGTTTAATTTAAAATTTTAATCACAAGGATTTGGTTAATTCATGGTATGGCTTCCATGACCTTTCGAAATGTGGCACAAACTGGGAATCCCTCTCCAGCCCGATAACATGAAGAAGTGATATTCTTGATCAATCGACTTTGGTGCGATTCGAACGGGTATCGCATGGTCGGAAAGCGAATTCCCTAACCAGAAGGCCTACGTCAACTGATGCCATGGTTTTCAGGCCCTCCCAATAATGCCGCAAACTGGGATACTCACCCCAGGTCATTATTATCAAGAGGACAGATCGACCATGGAAACATGACCGAAGTGACGTTCTAAACACATAAACACTAAAAACATTAGCCACAGAAACCCAGGAAGGTGCAGGCCGACAGGGAAAGGAATCGGGGTCTCATTAACCTTTTAAGCCCTGACCACCTCTTTACAGGTGGTAGAGAAAAATGACGTAATGCCCCGCCACCGGTTGAACGGTGGGTAAACTCTTGCGTCGTGTTTTGCTATTTGTTGTCTTATTTTGAAGAGCCAATCAGAAAAAGCCTTAATATTCTGATGTCATCGAACGTTATACTAACATGTCCGCGCTTTTTCATTGTTTCATTGCCTCCACAAACAACCCCTTTGCTGTGTGCTCTTATAAATACAATAAATTCAAGCAGAAAAACCCAACTGTAGCCTACAAAAACTATCCTATCCAAGGCTGTGAAGTTATCAGTCCGCTGCACAACATGTCTGCACTTCTTGTGTATCAAGAGAGTCAAAACCTGCTGTGTAGAGTGGGACGCAAAGAAATAATTCTGGCGATAAAGTGAAGGCATGAACCCATAGTCTAAATTAACTCATTTAACATTATATTTAAATACCGAGTCAAAGATAAAAAAAAACTTTATTAATTTCTCTTTTCGTCGGAATTGCAACGGCTATTGTCTAATTAATCAGTAATTAAAACTTAAGCGGGGCACGGTACGTTGCTCATATGTTTTTTTCTTTTTCTAGCACCCGTATTGTGATGTATTCGAAATATTACATAGTTTGGGTTCCCTTATGTCTTTTAAGAGTGACTTTATGTTAAGGATCATAAATAATGGTGATTTTAAAAGAAAAGAAGAATTGCGTACAAAATAAATGCAAACAAACTACGAAGAACGATTACGTATACGAAGAAAGATTATGCCGAATTAAGGTGTCGAATAAAGATAACATAAATTTATTTATTTTTTTTATATTCATATGGTCAACTGAAAAATGACGTCGATTACTTTGTTTGAAGAGAATATTTAAACAAAACAAGTACAGTTGACCACTGATGACAATTCCAGAACAACGTAACTATAAACAATTTTTTTCTAACCTCTGCCAGCCGCAATGATGGAGAAAGCATTACCTCGAAATAAATTTATTATTTCCAAATTCTTCTAACATTTACGTATATAGAATTCTGAAAGTAAAGTGCACACGGCACAAAAGCCCTCCACAGGAGCTAGCGTAAAATTCGTGCGAAGGGCGTCTTCTAGGCTAGTGTTTAATAAAATACTTTCCTCGACTATGAAAATCTTTCTGGGTTTCATTCCTGCGTCTAGACTATCGAAAGAAAGCACTTTTACGAAAAACATCAGAATTGTTTTTTTAAAGTCAGATTTTATTAAGTTTATCAGTTTTCATACAAAAAAAATATGAATCTGGATAAAATAAAATTTATTTAACTGTAGAAATCATCCATGTTGCGAGGTCATCGCCCCAAAAGAGGCACAATCAAAGCTAACGTGAAATACTGTTTCCCCGATAGACATTGCATGGGAGTAATCTACCAGTTGGTGTTGCAACGTTTCTTCAGGTAGTCACAGATCTTGGGGTGGGCAGCGACGCGTTTCCACAGGGCCATCAGTTTGGGGTAGTTGTTGAACATGGACTGGTTCTCCATCATCGGGTTCTCCAAGCAACAATAACACATCATATCGCATAGCATCATCTGGTAAAAAAAAAAAAAAAATCAGCATTAGATGAATTAATATTAGAAAATATTAGCACTTTATGAGCATTATTAAATAATTGCTTGACTTATTAAACGAAACAATCAATATATATGTTTCCTGTGTTATTATAGTCGCAACATCTTGAAGCTAACCTTTTTCTATCCAACATATTCTCATAATTCTATGCTACTTACATCCATAAAACAACCTAATTCAGTAACTCTGTATCTAGATTTGTCATCTGACCTAGTATTGCATGAACCCGAGCTTAAAAAAGAAAAGACGAACGATTGTGTTGGGTCAAGATCATTTAAACATTTATTATTAATCCTAGAACACAAACCATCAATTAAAGTTACATCACTACTAACCATGGGTACATCATACCCGATTTTGAAAATATCAAAATAAATATTAAATATAAATCTGTATTTGAAATATTTTACATGCAGACACTTCAAACTTTGTACTTTGAGTTAACATTAACAGGAACTGAAAAACATATTATTTAGGTAAGAAAATCAGGTACTGAAAATTGTAACAAAAACAACGAAATTAGCGCTGGGTACTATGGGTACCCATGGTTAATGTTCTAGGGTTAATACGGCCCAGACAAGGGTTCATTTTGCAATTTTTACTCTAGGTTTCACTGGTTCAAATAATTGCTACTCTGGCTGGTTCCAAGACTACTGGGTTAGTGAGGTCAAAATTTATTTTTTTGTATTTGATGATAAGTTTTTGTGATGTCACTGAACACCCGTTGCTACTTTTGTGATGTCAACGAATACTCGTTGTCACCATCGTAATGCTCGTTGTAGTCGAGATATTGTAATCATAGATACAAGTATAGTACACAGTTGAACAACACTGGTGTCAGACGCCTTCGAATAATCCTGCACTAATAGTACTTGCTCGATAATACTCGATCAACAAGTAACCCGTATAGTGATCCGAATAGATTAATAGTATAGTAAATAGAGTAGAGAAATAGTATAGACTAGAAATGGTGATCGGTAGAGTAATAGAGGATAGACTAAATATAACGATCCGTATAGTATATAGAAATAGACTAGAATTGCAGATCAATCTAGATGTCACATGACTTCCTATATATGCGTTTCCTCTATAGTCACGTGATCCGCTTAATTCAATAATGGGATCGCGTGTGTTTGCTCACTGGCGATCTATGTTCAAACTCAAGTATCGGCAGCGACATTTTATTCTTATATAATAGGTGTAAAAAGAAATGTCCTAAATTGGATAAAACAAGCATTTCCTTTAAAGACACATAAAATATTTAATGAGTATTTAAATAAATATATCCAGTTTAATATGGGACCCATACCAGGAAATACCAGAGGCAGAATAGAATTTAATACCAATCGAAAACTTTGTTCTAAGAGGAATTGATCTGTGGTGACCCCAGTATTTAACACGTTCACCCTCAGAGGTATATAAGAAATATTTGTACCCTATCCACATCCAGGCATATTGTTTTTACTTCAGGTTTCTTTCTGTAGCTGCCTCAACTTAGAATGTGAAAAGACCTACATGTCTTAAAATGCTGATCTCGAGATCACCCTATAGACGCCAAGTGCGTATTAGGACCCCAGACGATGTAAAATATCATGTAAACATAATCATAGCATTAATCCAGGAATAATTCAAATATACAGGCTGATTAAAAAGTAAATCCCCAACTCGATATCGACTTAGATTTCGATACCAGCATTTCAAGCCACACAGGAATCACGTCAATTAGTTTGTTTTGATAAACAATTTTTCAAAGTTTTTCCGTTCCATAGCTAATGTTTTTCTGTCGTATACAAGCTGATTAGAAAGTAACTCCCCATTTAAAAATACTTATAATTTATTGATTAACTATAATTCTTACAAGAAATCAATATCGCGAGAAGACGATCGAACGTTCGGAGAATGCCACCTAAACTATATGCTCCTTGTGGCTGAAGTTAATTTCACGCTGCCCAGAAGTAAATAAACGATTATTTTTACTTATTAAATAAGTTAGTTTTGTATTTTTTACTAGTATAAATTTACATATGTCTTACATTAGTCGTTGTGATGAAAAAGATCGTAGAAGCTAGTAATTCAATCCTCGTAAGATCAATTTAATGACCAGGTTTAGTTGTAGGGTTGGTGCGTAACTGAACAGAGTCCGCGACGTATCTGGAGGTTATTCAGTCATGTATGGTCTCATGGCTAAGTAAACACATGCAAGCCTATTCGTCTCCACATCAAATCGTTTTAGTGTCGGACACAAGGTCATTGGTTCGCTAGCAGAAATCATCAACCCTGGTCGTTGACTTTAATCTATAGTAACAACTATCAGTCCTGTGACTTCACTGCACTGGATGCATACATAACTATGATAGCCCACTCTACCATATTGTACTTGATAGCAATTAGTCCTAAAAGAAGGTTCATTTGCCATTTGAGGTCTGGCGTTTTCATACCCTCTGGGAGTTTAGCCAACTGCATCACTAGAAAAAAAAAACTTAAGTTGGAAGTGAGTTAGTCAATGATGACAAAACCATCCGACATAATAAATGATAACTTATTCTGATTACACCTAATTTCTGTTGCAAAGTTCAACAATAGTTGTCTTTCTCATGGTTTTAATACATAATTCCCCATGTTTGCAAACGTCAATTTCTGTTGCAGGCATCAACAATGGTTAAGTTGTAATTTCCAAGAAAGATCAATCCTGTTTTGTGGTAACAATCAATCAATGTTGTTGTCTTTCTCCAAAACAAAACAAAGATTTCTGTTGCAGGCATCAACAATGGTTAAGTTGTCTTTCTACAAGATCCACACAGATCCAACCTGTAGTTTATACATCAATCCGCTGAGATTCCCCCATATTTGAAAATGGTAAGCTAATTTCTGTTGCAGGCATCAACAATGGTTAAGTTGTCTTTCTACAAGATCCACACAGATCCAACCTGTAGTTTATACATCAATTCCTTCTGACTACACACATCTCCTAGGATGTTTAGCTAATTCCTGTTGCAGACGTCTATAATGGTTCATTTGACTTTCTCCAAAATGCGCACAGATCCAACCTGTAGTTTACGCCCATCTTTGAGAATGGTTACCTAATTTCTGTTGCAGGCGTCCATAACATCCAGTTAAACGGTCAGCTTTTGTAAATGGTAAGCTAATTTCTAAGGGGCCCGGACAATTAAAGGTAGCACCAACAATTTCTTTTCTTCCAAAAGATTTTATCTTCTGTCCCCATATTTGAAAATGGTAAGCACCGTTCACCCTAACAGACTTGTTAATGATATCAACCTGATCGTCGGATCGTCTAATTTTGTGTACCTACAGAATCGCAATTCCTACGAGCCGTACCATTATTTTTAGGCATCGAAGTTGAAAAGTAAAGTCTGTCTTTCTTCTCGGGGAAGAACTAATGGTCGCTGATTAAAATCCCCAAAATGTATTTATAGCTAGATTATATTCCCTGCAACCTTGGTTAATATGCCTGTAGGAATCAATGAATGCCAACGTTTGACAGGCCAACAGGCGTGGACGAACAGGGGGATGTGTGGCTTCGGCTTTCGAGGTTGGTGACTGCTGTCCCTCTTTCTCACTGGTGCCACTTTAACTGCCTGACAACGAGTCTCAATTATCCTTCTATATTTGTGGAGAATATCTCCGGTCCAAGAACAAAGAATATTCATGGTTTCACGCTTCGCGTCCAGACAAATTTGTCATTAATCCTTTAATTTTCGGGCGGCTAAGAACTCAAGCTTCTCGATTCCTTTGAAATAAACGCTTAGTCAATATCTCGCTGCCAAAAACAAGCTTTTTGGGGCATCTGGAGCAACTAAAGTGTTTTAGTAACAAAAACTGATTCTGCAATATTATTGGTCCTGACCTGACATCTCGGATTCAGTAGCATTCCCACCGCCTTTTCCTGTAGCTTTTCTATAAATACTTTCAGGGAAATTGTTCTGATGAAGTTTCCGCTGTTTTATCTAGACTTTAAGTGCAGTATTAGTATGAATTTAAACGCAGTACTTGATTGGCGGCAAGGTCTCATTATTTTACCGTTGCAATAGCTCGATGTAACCGTAGGTCTATGCTCACAGTTTTTTCTCTCACACTTCTTACTTGTGGAATTCTTTTCCGCCTCCCATGCTTTCCAAAAATTTAAATGAAATGACAATTTCTCTCTACCGTCCACCTGATTTCTATCTTCTTTTCCTGATCACCATTAATGTTTCTGTTTATAATTCTTCCCAAAATTTTAACACTCGTGTTTTGGTAGAATTACTGCCTTGCTTGGTCTGGTGGTTATGTTATGTATCAAGATATTCTTCACAAAATACAAAGAGGTATCCGCAATGTTATCGGCCCTGACCCGGCATTTCGGCTTCAATCACGTCCCCACCGCAGCAACATAGATTCCAACTTGCTAGTTTGATTTCATGTGGCACTCTTTCTCGGCTTCTTGCTTCCCAGACAACTGTGTTCATGAAAAATTGAAAAGGCAATTTCAATCTTTATCGTCTGTCTTTTGAATTATTTTTCTTTGATTGTCTTCTTATCTAAATTGTAGTTTTTTTTTTTCATATTCCCTAACACACAGTAATCTCTTGCGTCCTAGAGGCTTTATTACCTTGCTTGTGCGAAATTATTAAAACAAAAATAACTATTTCTAATGTCTCTGTTACGTAACTTGTTATTTTCTTTGCAACCCCTACTTTTTGTTCTTTCCTGTTCTGTTTTTGATTCTACTTTCAACCTTTCTTGTTTCTTCTTTCAATGATTCAGACAAGACACACAGTAAAAGATTCTCTCTCTCTCTCTCTCTCTCTCTCTCTATATATATATATATATATATATATATATATATATATATATATATTTTAAATAAAAAGAAAGAACAGTAAGTAATCCGGTGTTCCTTTTTAAATTTAAAAAAAAACATAGTGCTCAATGTAAATTTACAGATCATTAGTATTATAAA